CCTTAGTCATCCTGCTCATAGGGGTGCAGAGTGAAGAAAGCCCCGTGGGTGGAAACTGACAGTGTAATGCCCACGTCGGGATGGAAGCATCCTCCAGAAGTGTCATGGGGAAGAGCCCCTTTGGCATGGGAGTCCCACTCGTCACCATCAATACCACGGGAAAACACGGTCACAGCCCTGCCTCCCCTTAGGGGAAACCCCATTTCCAGCCCCCTCTTTTTCACAAAGACCCCAAACCGCTGCATTTCCTGCACCCAAGTGCAAAACGCAACAGGAACCGATGTTCCAACCCCCCCAAAGGGCCATTTTTTGGAGGGTCCGTTTGGAGGACCCGACGACACGTGTCGGGGAGGGGACAGGTGGCTGTGTTGGTGGCAGTGGATGGGACAGGCGCGCCCCCCGGTGCCCAGCGCTGGGCTCAGCGGTTTTGCTCCTGAAGTGGAAGGAATAGGGGCTGAATAAAACTAAAATGCTAAAAAAAAATCCGCCGAGTCCCCACTCCGGGAGCTCAGCAAATCCCCGTTGGATGACTGCTCCCAGCCCTCCGTCAACCCAGGAACCTCTCAGGGTCACCTCTGCAGGCTGTGACCTCTGAAGCTGAGCTGTGGGGGGCGAACCAGCAGCACTGCAAGCACTTTTATCATTTATTTTGCAGGGAAAGCAAAACATTTTGAAGGCAGGGAAGCTTTTTTTTTTTTATGTCAGAATGGCTTTTATTGGGGTTGCACGGCCAGCCAACAGCCCAGCATCAACGCAGGGCAGGAGCAAGCTCCCCCAAGCGCTGTCCCCCAAAGCAAGGCCACCCCCTGCCCCGCATCCCAACCCTTTTTGGGGCATTTCGCCAGCACTCAGCCCCGTGACGTGCTGGAGGCGGGCAAGAGCTCCTTGCCTTGAGCCCAGGATTCAGGGATAAGAGCGAGGTCACCCCGGCCGTGTGCTCGCCCCGCTCCCATGCTCTCCAGGGCTGCACCCATAGCGGGCAGCTTTCAGGCATGCCGCTGTGCTGGAGGGATCCCAGCCCTCACGGGGGTCCGATGCCCATTGCCCGGACCTCCAGGAGCTCAGCCCTTCGACCAGGTGCCGGGTGAATGGCGAGCGGGTTGGCTTAACCTGTACCACTTCTGGAAGGAGGGCGGCTTCCACAACGTGCACAACATCATGGCCAGCAAGTTCCAGCGTTTCGGGCCCATCTACAGGTGAGGGTGCTGGGGGAAAAGGGAGCTAAGGGGATGCTGAGCTGCCTTGGTGCCATGAGGATGGGTAGGAGTTGGGTCCCCTCTGAGCTCACCGTGGGGTTGTGACGGGGAGCAAAGTGGGGATTCGGGGAGGAGATTTCCCAAAGTTTGGCATTTTGGGAAAGGTGGGATGTGCGTATTTGCACTGCTTTCGGCTGAAATCCTGTTATCTTTCGAACTCCTAATGGTGGTAGGGAGAAGTTGGGTGTCTACGAGAGCGTGAATATCATCAGCCCCCGCGACGCAGCCACGCTCTTCAAGTCAGAGGGGATGCTGCCCGAGCGCTTCAGCGTGCCCCCATGGGTGGCATACCGTGACTACCGCAACAAGCCCTACGGCGTGCTCCTCAAGTGAGTGGAACCCAAAAATGAGAGCACCACCACCACCCACGTCATCACCCCCCCAAGAGGAACCCCAACAACGAGAATCACCACCCACATCGCCCCTCATGGGAAGCCCAAAAGCAAGACCCTAGGGCTCCACCACCCCAGTGTGAACCCCAAAGATGAGACCCTAGGGCTCCTTCTCCACCCACATCATCCCCAGTGGGAACCTCAAAGATGAGATCTCAGGATTCCAATGGGAACCCCAAAAACAAGACCCCATGGCCCCAAACCCCGTGCTCTGGGGGTGGTGGGAAGCCGCAGGGTGATGTGGGGATGTGAGGATGTAGGATTGGGATGGCACCCTCAGGGACACTTCTGACCCCTGCCTGTGTTCCGCAGGACAGGGGAGGCCTGGCGCTCGGACCGCCTGACCCTGAACAAGGAGGTTCTGTCACCTCAGGTGGTGGACAGCTTCGTGCCCCTGCTGAACCAGGTGAGCGAGGACTTTGTGCAGCGGGCACGGGCACAAGTCCAGAAGAGCAGCCGGGAGCGTTGGACAGCTGACTTCAGCCACGAGCTCTTCCGCTTTGCCTTGGAGTGTGAGTCTGCCCCTCAGAAACCCGCAAAATGCATCTGGGATGGGTGGTGTGCTGCCTTTCCCCTGGCTGCATCCCTAGGGATGCTTCTCCCCCAAAGATTTGAGGTCTTCAGGGTGTACTCTCCCCAAACAAGTAGGGAACAACTCGATGTCTAATGATAGCACAGCATTTTATGGCCAACCCTACTCAACCACGATGCCAAAATCCTCCAGGAAGCCTAGAGTTGGCCGTAGAGGAGGGCCTGCAGTCGGGATCCTGTAGTCTGGGTCCCCTGATGGATGCCATGTTGCAGCTGTGTGCCACGTGCTGTACGGGGAGCGCCTGGGGCTGCTGCAGGACTTTGTGGACCCGGAGGCACAGCAGTTCATCGATGCTGTCACCCTCATGTTCCACACCACCTCGCCCATGCTCTACGTGCCACCTGCCCTGCTCCGCCACCTCAACGCCAAGACATGGCGTGACCACGTGCATGCTTGGGATGCCATCTTCACACAGGGTGAGTACTCTTCCTCCATGCTCCTCATGGGCTGTCCAGTGGGAACGGGAGTCCTAAGAGCTCATCTTCATCTCACCAGCACAGAAAACTTCTCCCACATCCAGCTGCCCATCTCGGGGTCAGCGAGGCTGCTGTAGGTCCACTAAAGCTAGGAAGCTTGTAGGGTGGAGTGGTGGGGAACCATGCAGGAGCATGAACCATAGTGAGCATCACACCAAGAGGAGCAGCAGGGTCAGGGAGGTGGAGGCACCTGGGACAACAACCAGCCTCCAGGGGGACAGAGGTGGGGGACAGCTGGTTTTGGAGACACCTGCTTTGCTCACCCAGCCCAGTCTAAAGAATGAGCAACTCTACCGGAAAAGCCACCAATATGTGGCAGCAATGTGCTAAAGTTGCCATTCAATTGTCACCCTCATGGTGGCACTAAGACTTGGCAGATCAGATTAATGATGCGACTTGGTCTTAAAGATCTTTTCCAATCTGTACGAAAAACCCTTTCCAAGACAGATGATTCTATGATTCTGTGACTCCACGGAACCACCCCAGCCACAAAGCCCCACAGTTGTGGGTAGCATGCAGGCACTCAGCCCATGCTCCTGTATTTCCTCAGCTGACAAATGCATCCAAAATGTTTACCGGGACATCCGGCTGCAACGCAAGAGCACCAAGGAGCACACAGGCATCCTCTTCAGCCTCCTTATGCAGGACAAGCTGCCCCTGGATGACATCAAGGCCAGCGTCACCGAGATGATGGCGGGCGGTGTGGACACGGTCAGCACTGGGCAAGGTTTTGGCGGTGGGAATGGGACAGTGCATGATGCTGAGTCCAGCTCTGCCCTGCTGCAGACTTCCATGACTCTGCAATGGGCCATGCTGGAGCTGGCACGGTCCCCAGGCATCCAGGAGCGGCTGCGGGCAGAGGTGCTGGCAGCCAAGCAGGAGGCACAGGGGGACAGGGTGAAGATGCTGAAGAGCATCCGACTGCTCAAAGCCACCATCAAGGAGACGCTCAGGTATCCAGGAGGCAGCGGGGAATAGGAGAGCACCCAGCTCCTTCTTCTCCCCGATTTTCTGTGTCAGCACGGGAAGCCGGTGGGATGGACATCCCATATGACAGATGGGTGCAGATGTCCCACAGCCAGGTGACCCCATCCAACCCACAGGCTGCACCCGGTGGCGGTGACGCTGCAGAGGTACACCACACAGGAGGTCATCCTGCAGGACTACCGCATCCCCCCCAAGGTGAACCCTGGGCTATGGGGTGAGATGGGAAACCGGGTCCTTCCTCATCCTCTTCTGCTTTGTTCTGGGCCAGATGTGGGGCACTAATGGGTGGCAGTGGGGGAGGATGTGGGCGCAAACCCCTAGGGTTGATCCTTCTCCCCCAGACGCTGGTGCAGGTTGGTCTCTACGCCATGGGACGAGACCCTGAGGTCTTCCCCAAGCCGGAGCAGTTCAACCCTGAGCGCTGGCTGGTGATGGGCTCCAAGCACTTCAAAGGGCTGAGCTTTGGATTTGGACCACGGCAGTGTCTGGGTCGCCGCATCGCTGAGCTGGAGATGCAGCTTTTCCTCATGCATGTGAGCACTGGGTTTTGGGGTGGGGTGGGTCGTGGAATCATCTGGGTTAGAAAAGACTTTCCATCTGGGTTGGAGAAGACTTCCAGGATCACCAAGATTCCCCAGGATCACAAACCCAATCTCTAACTTGACTTACCTGTCACTAAATCACGTTCCTAATTGCCACAACCATCTTCCTTAGTGCCGTGCCATGTCTCTTAAGTTCCACATTTGTGTCCTAAATGCCATATCCATGTGTGTTATTGCCACATCCATGCCCTTCGTTCTGGAAGGGACTTGGGGAGGATCCATCCCCACCGTCCCCCACTTGCTCTTCCTTCCTCCCAACCCAGATCCTGGAGAACTTCAAGATCGAAACCAAGCGGGCGGTGGAAGTTGGGACCAAGTTCGACCTCATCCTCGTCCCTGACAAACCCATCTACCTGACACTCCGACCCCTCCAGCGCCAGGAGTGACATGGGGTGTCCCCAGTTGGTCCCAGCTTGGGTGCACTTCCATCACCTCAGTGCATTCAGCCTTGGCTCCAGCCCTGCTTACGCCACGGGGGAGATGGCTGTCCCCTTCCCGTTTTGCTTTGCCACTGATTTGCTCTGTATTTTCTGCACCAAAAGCAGCGGATCCTTGTTGTGAGCATGAATTTCTGGGTGTCTCTGGGTGTCTCTGGCATCCTGCCCTGGTGAGACCCCCTAGGGCAGCGGGTCCAGGATCCGGGGTCTTCTGGGGGGTAAAGTGGGATCTGGGGGCCATTTCTGATGGGAGATATGAACACTTCTCAGAGGTCTACAGACCCACTCTGGGGTTCTCTTTCCCCATGTCTTCTGGGAAATTTGAGGCAACCCCCCCCAAAATGTGATCCAGCCCCACTGCAGGGTATTCCCATCCCTCCAGAATGCTCACCAAGGTGGTGGCATGCAGAAGGCGTGAGGCTGAGCCCCCAAAGCCATGGTCCTGCTCCAGCAACCTAGTGCCCAGCTCCTGCTTTTCCCGTGCCCATCTTCTCGCTGCCTCCTCCAGCTGTGAGAAACCAATATTAGGATGCTCTGGGGGGGGTATCCCTGAGCCTCCCCAGATCTGAGGGTGCTGGTGATGCCCACCTGCCTCTCCATTGCTCGCCCACGGGCTTGTGCCTCCTCTAGCTTGGCCAGCAGGGACAGCTTCTCTGTGTCACCAAAGGTGCCCTGTGGGGGCCGTGGGGTACTGGGGGGTGGTGGGGGGCGTGGGGGCCTTGCCAGCTCCTCCCTCAGCCGGCGGTTCTCAGCCAGCAGCAGGGTGTGCAGCTCCCCAGCTGGGGCTTCACCTGCTGGATGGAAATTTGGAGTTACAGGGGATGTGGTGTCCTCCATGGGACAGGGGGGCACAGGCTCTGGTCCCCATGGGGTGAAAGCACCAGAAGGGACAGATGCCCCACCTGCTGGCTTCTCAGCACTCCTGGATAGCTTCTCCTGCAGCATCCGCTCCATCACCCTGATCACCTGCAGGAGGGAACAGGCACACCCTTGTGTCTCCAAGGGGTGGGAACAGCTTGTGGTGGTGGCACTCACAGAAAGGTGGGAAGGGACTATGGGTCCCATTGGCTCCCAATGCTCAGTGCACCCACCTGCGTCCCCAGCCCACCACGACTCACCTTCTCCTGCTGCCTCACTATCTCCTCCAGGCCCTTTGTCCTGGCCACCTCCTCCTGGCACCGCCACAGGGCAGCTTGCTGCTGTCTGTGGGCTCGCTGGAGCAGCATCAGCTCCTTCTCCTGATCGTTCTTCTGCAGGAAGGAAAGGGAAAACCCCCAGGGACAGCAAGGCGGGGGGCTAGATAACCTCGTGGGGGATTCCCAGAGGATCTGCTGTATGGCCCCAGGCTTCCACCTCATTCCCTCCCAATCCCCATCCCAGTACCCGGATCAGCTCATTCTGCAGCCGCTGCACGCGGTTCCTCAATTGCCGCATCTCTGCTGTGCTGGTCACCAGTTCTCCTTTCAAGGTGGCTGCAGGAGCCCATGCCACATCCTCAGCACGTGGAGGACAGCACAGTCCCCTCCACTGTGCCAAGGAGAGGATTCTCCCATCGTCTGCCCTTCCCCACCACGCACCCAACCGGTCCAGGATCTCTTCCCTGGTCATGACATCCACGTCCCCATCAGCGAGCAGAGCACGGCCCGGCTCCTGACGCCCAGCCAGGCTGTGCCGTAGGTGTCCATTCTCCACCTCCAGGCTGGTGACACGCTGGTGCAGGGACACAAGGTCACCCGCCATGCGTCTCAGTGCCAGGCGGTACCTGCTCACCTCCTGTTGGCACGGAGCACACAGTTGACAGCCTGCCACCAGTGCAGGCTATGAAACATACAGATTTGCCCTCTTGCAACCTCTCTTCCCCATTCACCCATCCTTCTGTGCTCCAACCACTCATCCATCCTTTTTGTCTGTTCTCTGGCCATCCATCCTCTTCTCCATCCACCTGGTCCACTCATCCATCCTTCTCTTCTCCAACTGTCTACCTTTTCCTCCATCCATCTACCCATCCATCTATCCATCCATCCATCCATCCATCCATCCATCCATCCATCCATCTGTTGTTCCATCTTTCTCTTTTCTATCCATCCATCCATTCATCCATCTATCCTCCTGTCTGTTCACCCATCCTTGCCTTTTCCACTCATCCATCCTCCTCTTCTCCATCTGTCCTCCATCTCTTCTTCATCCAACTACTCCTCCATCAACCTACTCCCTTCCCTTCCCTTCCCTTCCCTTCCCTTCCCTTCCCTTCCCTTCCCTTCCCTTCCCTTCCCTTCCCTTCCCTTCCCTTCCCTTCCCTTCCCTTCCCTTCTCTTCCTCATCCACCCACTCACTCTTTCCTTCCCTATCCATCCTTCTCCATCCATTCACCCTTTCCCTCTCCTTCTATCTACCCTTCTCTCCCCACCCTTCACTTCCCCTTCTATTCATCCTGTACCCCCAAGCCTCCTCCCCACCCACCACCTCTCCCTACACTCCTCAACCCCATCAAGTCCTGCAGCCTCTGCCTCATCTCTCTTTTTCTTGTCACCCTATGAGGGAAAATCAACTCTTCTGCTCTTAAGGGCTGCAGAAATGCTATAGCTGGGCTTAATCTCAAGCTTCCCATTCCCTCTCTGTCAGTCTCTGGGCAGGGGGACATTCCATCGTCCATGAGGGAAGAACTATCACCGGAGTATATTTTAATGGACAGACAGTGCAACATTTCCCCAAAGAAAGAAAGGTACTGGAGGGACAGATCCAGAGCAGGGATTTTCCCTTTCTGTTCCCCCTGCCTGGCCTCTCCCCGTGGCCACATAGGAGGACGAGGATGAGGATGATGCAGCGGTGGCTGCGGGAGCAAGGGCAGCACATGGCCCTATTTGGGGGGGGGAACCCACCCAAGGTTGGGTTTGTTTGGGCGGACAAACAGCCAGGCACAGCTCTGGAAGGACAGCATGAAGCTGCTGCATTTGCATGAGCATCCCAACCCTCACCCTGCTGAAATAAACCCCCTGAAACAAAGGGATAGCTCTCGGGTAGGGGTGGACACCAAGTTCATTTTTAGGGGGGGAGAACCTCTTTGTCCCATGACACTAGTGGGTACCAAAAGAATAATCAGCAGAGGGACAGCATGTTAGGAGGCAGCTGAGCCTCCTGAATCCCTGCCAAAGCTCAGCCTTGAGGATGTCCTTCCACAGCAGCCGGGGGGGGTCTGGCAGCACAGAGTGGCCTTGGGGTGCCGACACAGCAGGGCTCCGCTCCTTGCATGGAAGAGGGACACCAGCAGCTCTGTGCTCAGACCTATCCCCCCCTTGGGAAGCAGGATCCTGGGGGTGTCACCACAGCATGCTCACCTGCTCCTGGGGGACATTCTGGGACCTGTGAGCAGAGAGCAGGGGGACTCTCAGAGCTGATTCCCAGCTGGGATGCAGGGGACCCCGTGTAGCATCACTGAGTGCCCCATACCTCTGCTGTATTCCAGGCAGGATGCTGGACACGGCATCAGCTGGTGGCAGGGCCACGGCGTCACGGCGGACCTGCAAGGGGACATCAGTGCCAGCAGTCCGTGTCGGCCCCACATGCAGCAAATGGGGAAGTGCCCAACACCTCACCCGGGGGCTGTCCCCAACCTGGGGACCTGCGGCTGCCACCGGAGCGGAGCCCGGAGTTGTGTGCGGTGTTGGTGGCATCCCTGCTGTCACCACAACACAACGCTGCGCCGCTCTTAGCAACCCGGCTGGGCTCCCTCCTGCGGCAGCCCTGCCCCAGTTCAGGGCAAAAACGCTGCAGTTTTTCCCCAAAACCCAGCAGGCAGGGCTCGACGGCTGCAACACCCCCCAGAGCCACCCAGCCCCAGCCCCCCTCTGCCTTATCTCCTGCTCCCAGCACGCAGGCAATCTGGTGGCAGGTCCCAGGCAGCCCTTTGGTGCTGGCACCTCATTTCCATGCCTTGGATCTCCGTGCACTCCATTAACTTCTGAGGGCTGCGGCCCGCTCAGATCCGCAGGCAGCGATGTTGGGGTGGGCTGAAGTGGAGCTGAGATGCTGCTCACATCTCCAGCTGAAATTTGTGGGGTTTTCAAGCAGGGGACAGGTCCATCCTCTGCTCCCCATATCTCCATATGGCAGGGGACATCCAGCAAGGGACATGTGTGTCCCATCTCCACATCCCCCCGGTGCTGGCAAACAAAGGGGCCGCTGTGAGTCGATGGAGACCCTCAGTGCCTCATCCTGGGGTATGAATTTTTCATCACAGAGCCGTAGGAAGCATGCAATTATCCTCTCCATCAATAATGCACGGGGACTGGAGACCCTTCCCCAACCTCTGAGCATCTCCTTCCGCCACCACTCACATCCCCATTTGTTCACCCCAAAGCCCTCCACCTATCCCAGCAGCAGCCAGCAACGGGGATGGGGCATGGGAGGAACAGGGCTGTCCACTCCCATGTCCCACACTGGAACCTCAGGGGAGGGCAGAGTTAAGGGTATTTGCTCTCCTTTTCCCCTGTACATGCTTCCTACCATGCATGCATACATCTCTCCTTCCTGCAGGGGTCTGGGATGAAAGGCTGCGCAGCCACATCTGAAAGCACGCAGGCTTTGAAACTCCTGCTGATTTTTATTTTATTTTTTTTTTCCTCCTTCTTTCCCCCATCATTTACAATCCTCTGAAGCTTTCCCTGCCTGCCATGCCGTCCCACACGCCTTTCATCCACCCCGAAGAGACATAACCCCCCCCTCCCACACACACACACACACCTCCTTCTTCTCCCCCTGTTGGCTTAGGCCAAGTTTTGTGTTCTTTTCCCTCTTTTTGTTTTTTACATATTTACTTAACAAGTCGCTCAGAGATGCTTTGATGCCCCCAGTTTGCTGGCATCGATTCCTCCCTCGGCACTCACTCTCATCCCTATGCTCCCTGTGGGCTGAGGATGCCTCAACTCGTTACACTTATGAGCCCAGAGCTCACAAAGCTGCAGATCCTCCCCCCTCCCCCCAATAAACACATCCCTGGACAAGCACTAATCCCAACTCCGCTGTTGTTCTGACGAGGGGATAAGCACAGATTTGCTTATCGGAGCGAAATTGCTGCGGCGACTTAGGCAGATTAGAGGGAAAATTCCTCTGTTTCACTTCTTTTTGGGAACCAAAGCTCCTGAAACCACCAGGAGGGAATTTCTCCCAGCACTTGGAGCCTGCCTCAGTTTCCCCACGTGGAGGAGCAGCACAACGTGCAGCTTTAGGTGTGGATGAGGTGGTGAATCTGATTGAACCCAGGTTGAACCCGGGATCTGGGAGGGTGGGGGGGGTTGGGGATGGGGTCCTGGGGGGGGGAGGAGGGGGGGAGGTTAGCCCAAGCATCACTATTCAATTTGGGAGTTAATTGGATCGGATCGAAGGCGTTCATCTGAGCTGAGCCCCATTTAGTGGGGATGTCAGCACTGCACTGCTGCCTGCTCCGGGCTGATAAGGCTGCAGGAAGCAATGATCCCACAGCGGGGTCCCCAACCCTCCCAGCCCCCGAATCATTATTGAAATGTACAACCAGGAGGTGCACGCGGAGCAGCGATGGATGGAGCCGCCCCGCGGCACCGCTTTGGGGGGGTGCTGCGGAGCACAGGGGGCAGCCCGGGGTCCCATCTATCTTCCTGTTTGCTGACGTATCGACCCCATGTGCTGACACAGCTCTGCGGGGAGCACCGATCCATCAACGCCCGCAGCTCGGAGCTGTGCTCTGGTGTTTCGTCTTCTCACCCCGGTCGGAGTCGGTCCCGGCGGGCGGTGGGATGAGTGGAGCGGGGCGGGCACTAGGTGGCACTCGGGATGCGGGGCCGAGAGGGCCAGGGCAGCTCCGGCAGCTCCTGCAGCATCCTCACTCCTTGTTACATCTTCACTCCTTGCAGCACCTTCGTCCCTTGCAGCATCCTCACTCCTTGTTACATCCTCACCCTCCCTGCAGCACCTTCACACTCTTTGCAGCATCCTCACCCCTTGCAGCACCCGCATTCCCCTGCAGTACCCTCACCCCTTATTACATCCTCACTCCTAGTTGCATCCTCACCCCCTGCAGCACCCTCGTTCCTTGCAGCATCCTTGTTCCTTGCTCCCCCTCATCCTTTGCTGCATTCTCACCTCTTGTAGCATCCTCACCCCTTGCAGCATCTTCACCCTTGTTGCATCCTCACCCCTCTGCAGCACTCTCATCCCTTGCAGCACCTTCATCCCTTGCAGCATCCTCACTCCTTGGTCCATCCTCACCCCCTGCAGCACCTTCACCCCCCTTGCACCATCCTCACCTCTTGCAACACCTGCACCCCCCTGCATCCTCACTCCTTGTTGCATCCTTACCCTTCTGCAGCACTCTCATCCCTTGCAGCACCTTCATTCCTTGCAGCATCCTCACCCCTTGTTACATCTTCACCCCTTGCAGCATCCTCACTCCTTGGTCCATCCTCACACCCCTGCAGCACCTTCACCCCGCTTGCACCATCCTCACCCCTTGCAACACCTGCACCCCCCTGCATCCTCACTCCTTGTTGCATCCTCACCCCTTGCTGCATCCTCACCCCCTGCAGCACCCTCATTCCTTGCAGCACCCTCGTCCTTTGCTGCATTCTCACCTCTTGTAGCATCCTCACCCCTTGCAGCATCTTCACCCTTGTTGCATCCTCCCCCCTTGCTGCACACTCTCTCCTTGAAGCACCCTCATTCCCCTTCAGCATCCTCACCCCTTATTGTATCCTCACTCCTTACTGCATCTTCACACCCCTGCAGCACCCTCACCCCTTGCAGCAACCCCACTTCTTTTTGCATCCTCACTCCTTGCAGCACCCTCACCCTTTGTAGCACTCTCATCCCTTGCAGCACCTTCATCCCCTGCAGCATCCTCACTCCTTATTGCATCCTCACCCCTTGCTGCACCCTCACCCCCTGCACCACCCTCATCCCTTGCAGCATCCTTACCCATTACACTATCCTCACCCCTTGCTGCACCCTCATTCCCCTGCAGCATCTTCACCCCTTTCTGCATCCCCATCTCTTGATGCATCCTCACTCCTTGCTGAATCCTCACCCCCCTGCAGCACCCCCATCCCTTGCAGCATCCTCACTCCTTGTTGCATTCTCACCCCTTGCAGCACCTTCACCCCCCTGCAGCAGCCTCATGCCTTGCAGCACCCTCACCCCTTGCAACGTCCTCATCCTTTGAAGCACCCTGATCCTCTGCAGCATCTTTATCCCTTTCAGCATCCTCCCTTCTCAGAGCAGCCCCACTCTGCAGCCTCATCACCGCTTGCAGCATCTCCCCCCTCTCAGCACCCCACTGCAGCACCCCCACTCCTTGCAGCATCTTCACCTCTCACTGCACCACCACACCTTCACCTCTCACAGCACCATCACCCTTGCAGCCCCCTCACCCCCTGCAGCATCCCTTCACCTTGCAGCCCCAGCCCCGCACTGTGAACACCAAGCATGCATCTCCAGCACCACGCTCCCTGCCAGGGCCCTGCATCGCCTTGCTTTGCTTTCCCCATGCCCCACCATAATTAAGGCATTCAAGGTGAGCCCCCCCCCGGCATGTACAAGCAGAAGCCTTTAGGTTTGATCTCAGGGCTCAGCAGCGAGGAAGTGACAGCGCTGTGATCAACGCGGCCGCGCCGTCGGGGCTGTCATGTCGCTGCCACTGCACGCATGGCCCATTAGTAGGGTGTCAGCCCCCATCGGCGGGGCTGTCAGCAGATGGCTGTGAGCCCCCAGCACCTTACAGCATCCGATCTGCCCCCCTCCCTCCGTGCAGGGTGGGTGGGTGGAAGCCCCCCGCCCGCCGCCCTCCTTTATGGCAGCACCCCGTTAGGTTGGGCACGGGAGGGGAGCCATAAAGCTCAGCGGGTTGGATGGAAAAATAAATAGCTTTTCTTTCTTTTGATTTTATGATATGTATATATATATATTTTTCTTTATTGCTCATTCTCTTTCTGCCTTTTCAGCCTGAATTGCAGCCCCCACACCCACTGCAACACCCATCCCTTGCAGCCCCCCCATTCAAAGGAGCACCCCCATCTCTTGCAACAATCCCACCCCTTGAAGCCCTCCCACCCACTGCAACAGCTCCACCCCTTGCAGCCCCTCGTTCTAAGCAGCACCCCCGTCCTTTGCAATACCCCCTACCCTTGCAATCCCCCTAACCATTGCAACACCCCCACCCTTTGCAGTCCCTTAATCCGCTGCAACACCCCCACCCCTTGCAGCTCACCACCCACAACAATAGTCCCATCCTTTGCAGCCCTCCCACCCATTGCCACCCCCATTCCCTTGCAGCCCCCTATTCTATGCAGCACCCCCATCCCTTGCCACACCTCCACACCTCACAGCACCCAAATCCCTTGCATCACCCCAAACCTGTGCAGCATCCCCACTCCTTACAATACCCCCACCCCTGCAGCACCCTCACCCTTTGCAGCACTCCATCCACTGCACCACCCCCAATCATTGCAGCACTCTTTGCAGCCCCCCAACCCATTGCAACATCCCCACCCCTTGCAGCCCCCCCAACCCGTTGCAGCCCCCATTCCCTTGCAGCCCTCCATTCTATGCAGCATCCCCACCCCCTGCAACACCTCCACACCTTGCAGCACCCCAATCCCTTGTAGCACTCCCAGCCTTGCAGCCCCCCACCCATTGCAACACCCCCACCCCTC